TGTTCTGATGTAACAGTGGTGTGTTCTGATGTAACAGTGAGCATGTTCTGATGTAACAGTGGTGTGTTCTGATCTAACAGTGAGCTTGTTCTAATCTAACAGTGAGCATGTTCTGATATAACAGTGAGCATGTTCTGATGTCTGTCTCTGACTTTCACAGGGAAATGAGTTCCCCATGCTTCAACACAGTTCCAAGCATAATATAGGCACTAAATAAGGAACTGAATGAATGAGTGAGTTAGTGAATAAAGATATGGATTAATTGACATATCTAGGGATCAGTTTTAGGAAGACAAATCATAATTTACTAATGCATTTTTCTACAATCGAGTGTCTTTCTTCCAAAGTTGTCAACTATAATTGGGCAAACAGGGAAGCATGGTGAGGACGTACTGTCACCCATATCCTTCCAAAGTCTGCACATTTACCTCAGTTTTATGGATGAGAAACCTGAGGTCAGAGGTTGAGTGATTCACTCAGAGGGCTCAGGAGGTCAACAGAAAAACTAAGATCTGAATGCTGACCTGAAGGAATCATAAGCTTCTGCTGGCCCTGTCAGGGTCTTCCTAAGACAATGTTGTAAAAAGATATGGAAATAGATTCTAAATTAGAGATAGTGAAGACAGGGGCCTAGGGTAGACAGATTACAACACAATCTGGTAGAACGTCATTGAATATAAACTACATCCCTGTAATCTTAATATATAAAAAAGACCATGACAAGACCTTTTAGAAGGATTCACCAGAGGAAGAACAAAAAAGAAAAACTTTACAATTTCAGCTCAGTGTAATTATAAAATATAATCATTGATCTCCAAAGTATTGTTACAGATTTGCTACAGACTTTAAGGCCAAGGAGTCTCCTTAGTGAGGAACAATAGACAGCCACCCCCACTCTCCATTAAGATCCTCATTACCCTTTCCATATGGAAAGCTGGCATCTGCATTAAAATGCAATTAGCTTTCCCTTCTAGCAGGGTACTCAGCAACACTTAATTAATTCTTAAAGTTCAGCCTTCTTACTTCCTGGAGGGGTTCCAGATTTTAACAGATGAAGTGTCCAGAAATAGTTTAGGACGCAGAGACTGCAGACCACTCCATTTTGCATCTATAGATCTAGGTGCCCTGCCTAAGAGTTCAGGATGTAGACTCAGCTATCACATGACAAGCTCGGAGAGTGACTTGGGTGTGCTTATCACACAAACTGTATCCCTAGGGTCCAGAGTCATAATGTGAAACTTGAGGGGTGATGGCTACAGCACTCGATTGCTTCCATTTTCAAGTAAAGGAATAAAGATGGATTCGTGTGAGTGAAGGAAGGACATCCCATGTCCATGGAGTGGGAGACATCCAGGGAATTATCCTCCCACTTGATATAGTAGTTTGTGACAAGTATAATACTAAGTAAAATAGTTCGAAGATCAAGAACTTCCCGAACAGCCTTGTCTGTAAACTCTTGGCAATCAAAGGAATCCTTGTCTTTAAAGAAAAACCTCCACTTCAAAGAAAGATGCTGTGTGTGCACATTGAATATATTACCTGGTTATAAAGAGAAGAACATTTATGAAGTAGATACTTTAAGGTATGTGACTGACATGTCACCTTCATGAATTTCACTAATTCACTGGTCTTCTGTGTTGTAGAATGGATAAGGGTCATTTTCTTCTTTTCCTTGAAGTAGCTCAGACTTGTTTATACTTGTTTACTGCTCCTACCCATTCTTAGCCCATAGATCTTTTAGTCTCTTTTCTGCTTATTTCTTTTAAATTATTTTTGTCTCTTTCCAAAATGCCTCTTCAAATATCAACATTCCTTTTCCATATTGCAACCCACATTTCTTCCATCTATTTACCTCTTTTTATGGGTTGTTTTTTTACTGAAAACATTTCCAACTGATTCCATGGCTTCCTTGTCTCTCCGCTTATTTCCTGTTTTTTGTTTCTATTGGAAATAAGTTTTGTGGAAGTGTGGATCTAGACTGTGTGTCTTTCAATGTGTTCCCAGAATCCAGAATGTTCTTGACTTATACAGATATATTCTAAGTATTTGTTGCATGCATCATGCAACAAAACGGAAACCACCATGGGGAAGAGGGGTTTCACTCACCTGTATCACACCCGTGCAGGAATCCAAAAAGATGCAGCCTTTGGGTTCTTTGGATATCTTTTCATCTTTGTAAAAGTTCATAATGTAGGAGTTATCTGGCAGCTGAGTCAGCTGGAAGTAGCGCTTTTTGAATGACTAAATAAAAGAAAGAAGGAGGGAGTTTGAAGTTCATTATACGGCTACTCATGGGAATGACAAGTCTTCAAAGTTCTTCAGCAGGGCAGTGCTCTAGAGCGGAGAGTGACTTCTGAATAAATAAAACAGTATAGAAAGCATGAATATCATGCCAATGGCTCCTCTCCATTCTGTGACCCAAGAAGGGATGTGAGGAAAGGGGACAGGGTGGGGGTGGGGGGTCACTCTTGATGTGTCCTTACCCGGACCGTGACAGTGTTGTTCACAGTGCTGTTGAAATTCCCCTTGTAGAGCCAGCCTGACTTGAACACGCCAGTGCCTCCGGTTCCTCCGCCGCCCTTGGAAGATGAGTGGGATGTGGTATCCTGCAATGAAAGCCATCATTAGCCTTACAGCCAGCCCTGTGGAGCCCAGATCTTCGGCACCGCACTTCCAAAGGAGACTCCTTTTCCTCCCTGACTCATCCGCAACAATCATGTTCAGTGTCAAAACAAACATGATTCATGTTGCCTGAAAGCCCCGACACAACCAGCCTCTCCTGCTCACGAAAACCAGATTGCCAAGAAGCCAGTGCAGACAGGAACTAATTGCCCCCGTGTTTTAAACCTGTCACTTGACACAGTCACTTACTTCGTCCTTATCAGCATCTTCATGGTCAACCTCAAAGGAATGTGAAGGAAGCTTCTCTGGCTTGTGTTCGGCTCTGATATTTGAAAAAAAAAAAGTCCAGTTTGTTATTTGATATCTTGCTTTTGTTTTCTACTATTCCCAAGATCACAAGGCTCTGCTAACATTGTTTCAATTTTTTTTTTAATGTTTTGCAACCTTAAAAATCTGGGGGTTCTTTTTCTCTGAGAAGAGTTAACTTTTCCCTTACATCATCATATCCTATCTCTACTAAGTATATATTTTAACTCACGGAGTCTTTATTGACATAATTTTGTATATATCTTTTTGTATTGAAGGAGAGCAAAGAGGATGGATGGAAATCTTGAAGTTTTGTCTTCCATCTTCTGCATTCTGAAGTAGAATATTAAGCACAGACACCTTTGTTAGCTTTTCTGGGTCACCTGTCTGTGATGTGGCCAAGGCTACTGGATGGTTGCCTAAGCAGCCTCAGGTGTGGGAGGCCTTGAGTCCTGAGAAGCAGCCTGGGTTTTGGCCTTCAGGTTGTGTCATGCCCCAGTGGTAGTCCTTCAGAAGGCTACTCAGATGGAGCAGCGGTGTCTGCCCATGTGGTGTGCACCCTTGCCATCGCTGCCCTTTTAGCTGTGGCATGACTGGTCACCCCAGAGGAGCAAGCAGGCACATCTGGCTTCATATGCCCAGAATAAAGTAAGTCTGAAGTAAGTTTCTCTTGGCACAAGTCTGTCTCATAATGAATGGCTGAAGAAGCCAGACTCTCCACTCAAAGTTTAGGCTTTCTTCGAAAGTCAGCCCTTTGTCACCTTTTAAGGCATAAAGCTTATTATATGCAGACATTTCATATAATTTTTTAAAAAGATTTATTTATTTATTATGTATGCAGTGTTCTGTCTGAATGTATGCCTGCAGGCCAGAAGAGGGCACCAGATCTCCTTATAGATGGTTGTGAACCACCAAGTGGTTGCTGGGAACTGAACTTAGTATTTCTGGAGGAGCAGCCAGTGCTCTTAACCTCTGAGCCCTCTCTCCAGCTTCTCATATAATGTTTTAAGATGACACATCCTGTAGAATCTGAATCTGACGATGAGAAAAGACCAGAAGAGAATTTGTTGATCCCATCACAAATCTGTTCCTGAGCTGACAGTGTACCCAAGAGAAAGGGAAAGGGGTAAAGGCTTCTTATATACGTTCCTTCTGTGCGTTCTCACAGGATGCTCCCTAATGGATGTAAAGTGCTCTTTCATCCTCCCTCTAAAGGACACTCCAGTGCCTACTTCCCAGTGCACCATGGGAAGTTGTAGCACAGAAGAAAATCTCGTTCGTTGTTAAGTAAGCATTGTCCATTTCTTAACAGACTGTCAAAAATTAGAAAATGTGCCGGGCGGTGGTGGCGCACGCCTTTAATCCCAGCACTCGGGAGGCAGAGCCAGGCGGATCTCTGTGAGTTCGAGGCCAGCCTGGGCTACCAATGAGTCCCAGGAAAGGCGCAAAGCTACACAGAGAAACCCTGTCTCGAAAAAAAAAAAAAAAAAAAAAAAAAAAAAAAAAATTAGAAAATGTTTGCATCCATCACCATTGCCTATCCCTAGACATTTTCTGTCGCTGGGTCCTGAAAGCTACTGTGATGAACATAGGACTTGAGATTCAGTGTTAAGGATGAAATGTGGAATCTTCTGTCATCTTCCTCTCTGCTTTTTTGTTTGTGATCTTGGTAAAAATCTCAAGACCTGCTGGTCAGTATTTGCAAGTGGTAATTGTCTTTCTCATCAGTTAAAAGTGGGAAGAAGATCACACCGAACCTAGGCAGGTCCAAGCCCCTCCCCACTGCACCAAGGCTGTGCAAAGTGTCACACCACAGGCACCAGGTTCCAGAAGCCTGCCCATGCACCAAGGACAGATCCCAATCCCCCTGCTTGGGTGCCCCCCAAACAGGAGACCTCCATTTGGGGGATGTGGGGATGCAGGGGTGGCTTGGGAAAGAGGGCTGGGGGGTGGGAGGAGGGTGGAGGGGGTATCTGTGGATAGTATGTGAAATGAGTAGAAAATTTCTTGATAAAGAAAGATAAAAAAAAAAATGGGAAGGAGAGCTGTAGAGAGTGGTATTTCAGGATTATCCCCTCTGGCTAGGAGATGGTGTGTGTGTGTGTTTGGGGGGAAGGGCTTGCTGTGCAAGTATGAGGACCTGAGTTCAAATCCCCTACACCAATGTAAAAGCCAGATGTGCCTGTGTATGACTGTAATCCCAGTACTGGTAGGGGTGGGTCGGGAGATAGGAAGTTCCTAAGGGTTTTTCTGCCAGTCGCTATAGCTGAAATGGTGAGTTCCAGATTCATTTAGCAAAGCCTGTCTAAAAAAATAAGAGTAATAAACTCAATGTTGACCTCATGGAGTCTACATGCTCATACAGAGAAGAAAGCACCTGCTGGCACACCACACACACACACACACACACACACACACACACACACACACACACACACAGATTATCTCTTCTTCAAGTCTGGCACATAGTAGTCATTCAAAACATAGCAGTTAATAGATATGTATAACTTATACAGTTACACTAAAGTTATTTCATGTCAGAAAACAATACCATATAATATGACATTCCCCATCCACGGCTCATTGACAAGCTGGAAGATGTTTAAAAACACAGATGGAGTTTTGTATTCAAGCTTAAATGTGCATGGGATATTGCTCTTTGTCTGATCACACGTGTGGATAATCAGACTTTGGCACACAATACTGGCACCCCAGACTTGTCTATTCTTTTGCTATTTTGCAGAGATAAAAATGAAGAGCATAAGGGCCACTTATGTAAACACAAAGGAAAGATGGGGTTGCAGGATGTATCTGTGAAATAATTTTATCAGGAAAGATGACTTCAAATCATCACAGAAAAGAATATTAGGAAGAATATAGCCAGTTTTTAATCTTTTTTCTTTGCAGGGCCTCAGAGATGTTCCAACTCATCTATGCTAATAGTCACCATGATGTTAACTTGTTCTGTTCTTTTTGGTCATGGTCACCTTTCTGGGAAGGCATAGAAAGAAGTCTTCACAGTATTACCTTAGGACCATGGGAAATTCTTCCTATCCCATTCCTTTTCCCCATAATAGCATACGATACTCCTTGAACAGGAAACGACCCCTTTCACATTTTTATTCGATTGATAAGAGAAGGCCTTTGAACACAATCTTCTTCCTCTCTTCCTCTCACGAGAGGTGACATGTCATCTGAGTTTCAGGGGCAATTTCAAGAGGCAAGTTTCAGAATGATTGCTTGAAATGTTTTATCTGAAATATGCGCATTATGGGATTTTTACATTGATGATACGGCAGTAAAGGGAAGGTGGAGGAAACGCCCATGTTAACTCATCACACATATATTTTTGTGAACTATAGAGGGAGTTATATTAAGAGCTATCACTACAAAAATGATGATGATGTGAAGTGATTCATTTCTTAATCAGCTAGATTTGACTATTTCACAATGCTTCCATATTTCAAAAGATCACTTTGCACATGATAGGAACATATAATGCTATCTCTTATTACAGTGAATAAAAAAGTATAATGAACCTCAAATCCAACCAGAAAGTGTTTGGTCAATCCCATAGCCCTTTTGCTACTATGAACCAGTGGACCTATATTGCCAGACCAGTCATTTCTATAAGTCACAGGTTTCATAGCTTGGCAGGATGTATGGCTACTTTTCTCCTCTGGTAGCATGCATAGCAGCTTCCAGCATTATGCATGCGAGTGAGCAAGGATGAAGCTTCCATGTCAGAATCAACTTGTTTCTTCAAGTTTTATGACTCTAATATGTGGTATCTTCAGTACTAAGACATTACCATCAAGTTATGGAGGGTACCAAAAGCAACAGAAACAGTCTGGACAAGTCTTACAAGGCAGGGCCCCCTGGTGCTACAGTGTCTTGACTGTTATGGGAGTAATCAATCACTTTTGTGATTAAATTTAAGGCCTGTTCCTTGTGATGAAACTCGTATTGGACACCATTGTTGAGGCCAATAACTTGTAGCTACATAGGTCATAGGCCTTAGAGGATAACCTATTACTATCATTCTGCTAAATGGATTGTATGAGCTGGGGGCGGGGGCAGTGTCAAGGGCATCACAAGGGAAGCCATAGAAATGACTAACCTGGGCTCACAGGAGCTCATAGACTCTGGACCAACCTAGGCCCACTACATGTGTGTGACAATTGTGTAGGTTAGTCTGTTTGTGGGGCTCCTAGAAGTGGGCCTGTCCCTAACACTTGAGCTGGTTTTTGGGAACCTGTTCCCCACACTGGCTTGCCTCATCTAGCCTTGATACAAAGGGAGGAGCTCAATCTTACTTCAACTTGATGTACCATGCTTTGCTGGCACCCATGGGAGGCCGACTCCTTTCTGCACAGAAACAGAGGAGGAGTGGATGTGGGTGGCAGATGGGAGGCAGGGGGAGGAGAGGAGGGAGGGGAAACTGCAGTCAGAATGTAAAATGAATGAAAAATTTAATTAATAAAAAAAAGAGAGAAAAGATTGTATCTCTGTCTATTGCCTTCAAAATTCAACTTGAAGGAACATTGGGTGGTTTCTAAGAACCTTTGGAATCTCAAGATAAAAGACTGGCCAGCAACTTTATATTTTGAGTTTGAACCCAATATGAGTAATCATTTTCAGGGAATCTTATTTTTCACTTCCTCCTATTGCCCCAAGAAGGATCATGGCAATACTTGAGTGCTCCTACAGTAATTATTTGTGAACTTAGTGCTCACATTTCTCATGTAAAATACAACAACAGTTCCCATTCTATATGGTTAACCTGAGAAAATGTATGTACCACACCTAACATATTCTAACACACTGGAGAAAATGAACAAACATTTGTTTAACTATTTAAGTTTTTTTTCTGTTATATTTAAGACAGATTTATAGTAGCCTGGGCTGGCCTTGAACACACTATGTAGATGAAAATGATTTTGAGACTCTAATCCTCCTGCCTCCACCTCTTGAGTGTTTGGTATATACTACCCTGCTCAGCTTCCTTTCTTTAAAGAGAAATCATTTTTGTTCTTGCTTAGCCTAGGTGAGCTGGCCAAACTTGATTTGATTTTCAGTCAAAAAAATATACCCTTGGGAAATATGCTTTCTCAGATCAACTGTGGTAAAAACTTTTCTGTTTTTGTTTTATGTTGTGCAACCCTGGATTTTATCAATGCTCTAATGAACTCAGCATCATCGTAGATTTTTATGCTATTTGAATCTCCCAGGAACTCCAAGTTCAATGCTGACTATGTAAAGGCTGACGCTTCATATTCTGGTAAAAATAATGGATCTCTCTAGTTTGCTTTGTTGAACACACATTTGAAATCATGCAGGTTCCTAAGAGTTAAAATTAACATGCCTTCAAATTTAGAGAATATATTTCACTTCTTTTTTCTTTTTACTTTTTCCATAATTTCATCTTTTACAATCTTATTTTGCAGTCTTAGCAACTTGTAAAAAGAAATGATCAGTTTAAATTGGTAGCAGACATAGGAGAGTTCTTCTAATCTAGGAGGTATGAACATGATTTACTTTTAACAGCCTCACAAGGCCTAAGTAAATTAATCTGTTCCCACTATTGACCTAAATATGCATAGTCTTTAGGGGGCAGCTCTTAGCTTTGTAAAATTATTAAAAAATAACTCTCCTATGCAATGTTGAAGTATTCATTATTCTGGGGCATATACTAGAGGATTGGGCTCTAGAACTTATGTTTATGATAGAATGTATTTCATGTGAATATAAAGAAATAATGAAAATAAGTTAAAATTTCAGACTTTGTAGCACACTTTCCTGTTCTTAATATCTACTTCCACATCTTTACATAACGTTCTCTCACCATGTGGGAGATGTGTCTACACACATGAAAATCCTAACTCAGTAACCACGCCCAGAAGCTCTCCTTAGTGGACACGCTTTCCATATCCTTCAATAGAGGGAGAACTCAGTGAGCCTAAAATACTGTATTTACTTCTTTTACAGCATAATGTCTATAATAATAGATAGTGTTTGGTAATCAAAGTTACTTGCAGTGCTCCATATATCTAAGGGAATGGAACATTTTTTACTCCAAAGTGAAGGGCAGATTATTCATCAGGCAAAGCACTTGTTACACAAGCATACGATTGAAATCTGGACTCCCAGCATTCTTGTAACATGCTGGGTGGGCATGGTAGCCCATCCACAATTTCAGTTAGGATCTTGGACATTGAGGGGATCCTTAGAGCAAGATGGCTGGCGAGACTAGCCACACTGGCAAGCTCTAGATCCACTGAGAGACCTTGCTATGAATAAGAATCAAGCAAGGGCAACTCCCAACACCAGCTTCGGGTGCACTAGAACACACACAAACATGCATGAGCACCCCACAAACAACATACAAAAATAGTGGGAGATGAATGTGGCTGCCTAGGTCCTGTCCTTTAACATGTGTTTTTTTTTCAAGCGTGGATATAGCTTCCAAATTATGAATGATTCTCAGATCTGTTCTTAGAAAGAGGGAGCACAGGTGTTAGAAAACAATTTGATTTTCGATTGCATCTCCAGGAAGTGTGTGACTAACACTCAGACATCTTGAATGTCATCATTACTTAAGACACCCCAGAGTATGATGAGACTTTCCCAACGAGAAGTTACAAGAGATTAACATTAAGGAGTCCTGGGTTTTTCAAAATGTTTAGAAATCTGTAGGAGTTAAGGTCACAGGGCTTTCTTTGAAAATAGACTTCCTGTTTTGGAGAAGCATTGGCTTGCTCTTCACAGTGAGACAACTTCTGGGAAAAAAAAAGGTTTTCTCCTCTCCTTTCTCTTCCATGTCACTCCTCCAAATGCCGGCCAAGTGATTTCTAAATACATTGTACCCTCGTGGGCATTCCTCAAGACTTCCCTTGCAGTGAGAATAAAACTAAGCTCCCCTCTAGGGTTCATAAAGTCTTTGGATTCTTGTTGCTACGCTCCCCTCCAGCCCTTACTCTCCAGCCTCCTAGCCTCTCCTTCTGCTCGGGTGTTCATACCAACTTTGTACTCCTCCCTCCCCACCCCACCCCACTCCTGGAACTTCTTTTCCTGAGATCACAGCACTGGTAGCTGCAGTTTCTTAAGATACAGTTCAAATGTCACCTTCCGAGAGTCACTCAAAAATCCCCCTTTCAGAGTCTGCCTTCAGGAACTGAGACGGCACTTGCAAGCATCCTAGTTTGGAAAGACTTTCCCAGGGACAGAAAACATTGCAAAGTAGAGCTGAATTTTGTGCCATGGACAAATAAAACAAACCTGACCCAGTGTGCACCACTTGAAGAGAGTAGAAGTAGACACTGAACTTTTGAACCTTTTTGGTAGTCTTTATTGTTTTTTTCCTGAAGTATTTGTGTCTTTGGATCATGTTTATTTGGTGAACCATGAGCTGAGAGGTACTAGTTCAAAGCAGTTTTTTTTTTTTTTAAATTTTCAACTACTCCATCCCAATTTGGGAATGTTGTGTATTAAAATAAAAATTTCCATAGTATTATATGCTAGGAATTATCCTGAAGGGGATTCAGCAGAGAAGCAGAGAAATTCTCCACCCTTTGAAGGCTTTTATTTCAGTAGGGGAAACAAGAAATAAATACTATAGCTCAGGTGAGCAGGTGGGTCTCTGTGGAGTGATGCTTGAGAAGAAGCAGAACAAAGTGACCTTCTTAAAGGCTTTATGGTCCCAAGTGTCAGGGGAAGTTACACACTGAGTTTCTCTTTCACTCCTTTTAGATACGTGCCCTTCTGTGGAATCCATTTGCATGCTTTTTGACATCCCACAGCGAAAGCACATAAAGCAAATGGTGGATATAAATGCTGTATGGGATTTGGTCAGAAATTCTCTGAAGCACTTGGCCTTTCCCAGTGCCACTGTTGAAAGGACGGCTCATTGATGAACGGTTCAAGGATGAGCAAAAGCTCAAACTGCAAGCAGGCATCAAATTAGAGAAGACTGAGCCTCATTCCAAACTCTTACTATAACAACATAACTATTATGTTGTTGATCAAAATGTTCTCTATCTTGACTCATAAATTTTGCAAAATGTACCGTGACACAAAATAAACACGCTTGTGTTCATAAACAATGTTGAAGCTTGCAAAGAGGTGATTTTTTTAATATATGCAAAAAAGCCCACATAATCTAATTTATAATAAACAGATGACACATCCTTACCGGGATAACTGTCGAATGTCTCCAGAATATTGTTCATATTTGTAGTTTACCACGTACCACTGGGAACTGTAGAATTTACAAGCCTGAAACAAACAAAAGAGACAGTTATAAAACTTGTCATTAAAAGTTAGTTGTGCTGGCAAAATGTTCTCATGATCACAGGCAGGCTCGGAGGTGGCCATGTCAGCCACTTCAAGGTAGGTAAGAGTCCCGCCCCTTGTAATCATCAGACATCCTCCAATGTCATGGAACTCTCTCCAGACTCCTGGAGGAAGAACTGTCTAACACAGTGTCTCTGTTTCACTTCATCACCAGGAAATGTGTGGCTCGTCACAAGAAGCATTGTTTTTAGCGTTCCTTGCCATTGCACCCATCATCTGATGGTTCGTAATCATGAAAGATATTTTTATTTGTATCTAGTCTTGTCATTATTTTAGCCTCTTTTTTTTCCTGACTCTTCTTTAGCAACTGAACTACTATTTCTTCTGCTCCTGTAATATTACCACACTTGTTAGCCCAGCCTGTAGCTGGCTTTTCTGCTTTATCTCAAAACTTTGCCATGATTATTCTTGAGTTCTACAGAATGTTCATAAAAGATCACTGAGAATTACGTTGAAAATGAAGTTAAATGTGATGATTGATGTTGTGGGGTATTTTGATCACATTCTGACACTTCTGAGATTGACAATAAAGCTTACTTTGAATCAGAGGGCAGAGCTAGCTACTAGTCCACCAAAATTAGCCATAGAGGTTTTGGAGGACCAAGGACTTATAGAGAGACACAGGAAGTAGTAGGGAGGGGTTTAGAAAGATTCTCAGCCTTTTGGATCAAGGAAGGAGAGAGAGAAGTCACTGGTTGCTTCATGGCTGCTTCTCTGATCATTCAGATTCTTACCCCAATATCTGACTCCTAAGTTTTTATTGATAAAGAATAATTAGATAAAGGCTTCAGACTGATTTTCTATTATTTATTTGTGTGTTGTATGCATATGTGTACTTGTGGCCAGAGGTGTATTTGAGTGCTGCCATTCTCCATTTTCCTTTTGAGACAGGCTGTACTGAACCTAGAACTCATTAAATAGGCAAGACTAGCATGTCAGTGAACTTCAAGGATCCTCTGGTTTCTAACCGGCATTACCCACAGTTTTAGGATTACAGATGCACTCCATTAGGTGTACAATATGGGAACTGAAGACATGAAGTCAAGTCCCAGTACTTGTGTGGCAGACACTCTACTGACTGTACTATCTCCCTAACTATTGATTTATACCACTTACAGACATAAAATATTTTCCAAACACCTACCTACCACATAGCTTATTGTAACAACTGTGGATTTGCAATAGAGATTTCACTATTTCAAACTAGATTTTAATACCCCTTTAATTCTAAAATGACATGGTATTGAGAATTAAGTAGCTGTCTATTAGGATTACAAGCAGACCATGTCTTCCTGCACTAGTGGAAGAAAATTGAGGCACCATGAATTTGTTGACCTTTGAGGAATAATGGTCCGTGAAGCTTTCTTTGTAACCAAGGATAAGATAGACAGATGTTATCACACAGGTCTGCTGACAGGAAAGGAAAAGCATGACTTCTATAGAATTAGATGGAATCAGGGCGTCGTCCACTACAAACAGGGGAGCAAGAAAAGTAAGGGAGAGGGTGGAAAAGGACCACAACTCCTGGAACTCAGGCTCTTCGACTGAGGTTGCTGCCTTTCTGCTCCTGGTCTGGATCTTCAACAACTTTGCTTTAAATGAAACCTTTTAGACAAGACACATATTAAAAAGTCCGAGGCAGGGGACTTCAGATGTCCAGCACAGGCAGGTTTGGGGACCTTATCTGTTCTAGGTTCTCTGGTCCCGATTTCCCTCAGCCCTGGAGCTTCATTTGTTCAGAGAGGTGCCCACACACAAACTGGCAGCCGAGGACAGAGCAAGTGAGGTTGGGACAAGGGTAGGAGTGGGAGGCTGGCAGCATGTGTGCAGTGCCAATGAGGACTTTAAAACAACACTGAGCTCATGGAAGCTGTGAGCAGAGGCTGGGAAGAGAGAAGGAAAAGGGAAGGTGATCAGTGGCTACTAAACTGCAGTTCGTTAGATGTAATTTTCTGCATGTCATGACACAGGAGGGCAACCATTCATAACTGTATGTACTGCGATTTCAAAAACCCAGGGAAAGGATTTTCCGTGTTTTCACAAAATGCAGATAAAACTTTGAGGCAACAGATGTTGACTCAGATCTGAAAGTCATACAACATATACATATAATATATTATTTCATAAATATGCACATTTTGTTTTTATATACCAGTCTTTTAATTTTAAGAAAAATATACTTACTGTTTGTGTATGTGTGTGTGCGCCTCCGTGTATGCACAGACATGCCTGATTGCTACAGCATGCCTGTAGAAGTTAGAGGATAATTTTTGGGAGTTGTTTCTTTCCTTCTACCTTGATGAGGCAGAGTCTCTCTTATTTCTTGGCATACTTCAGGCTAACTGGTCTTTGAGCTTCTGGAAGATTCTCCTGTCTCTGCATTCCTTCCTGCCTTAAGAGTGCTAGGGTTACAGATGGCCACAACTGCATCTGGACTTTCCTCTTTTTTTTTTCTCTCTAAATGTGGGCTCTAGGGCTCAAACTCAGGTTGTGTGGCAAGTGCTTCTATCCACTGAGGCAATTCCCAAGTCCTCTTTGCCAGTTTTCAAAGGTAACTAAATAAATAAGAATGATAACTCTCAACCCTTATCATAGAAAGTTTTTTTTTGTGAATCCTTTGGACAGCCTTTGTGAATTCTTTGGACATCCACTAACAAAGAAATTTGCAGCTGGTCCAAGTGAGGAGGATGTGTGTTTGAAAAGTCCTCAGACACAAAAAGGACATCTGTGTCATACTCTCTCCACTCAAACTCAGAGACCACAAGGAGGGGCAGGAAGGCTGCAAGACCCAGAGGTCAAGAAAGACTGAACTAATCAGGGTCCTCTGGGCATGATAGGATCTCTGTTCTTGTAAACTCATGGCAGCTGTGGTAGCCTGCACAAGACCTGCACGAGATCAAGCCAGTAAGTATTCCAGTGCAGAGATGCACGAGCAACCATATCTAGTCGAGATGTTGACAGTTAATGATTTCTGGGGAAAGAAAAGTCAGTTTTTTTCAAGGATGTGGCCCCTGGTAGGTTCTTGGAACCCCAGTGAGTGGCCTCACACCCATGAGTATATGGGTAGCACAAGCTGGACTTGGTTATCACAAAATAAAGAGAAGAGGGCACAAAGTTGGGAGCATGATGGGGGTGAGTCTGGGAGGAGTTAGGGGGCTAAGTGAGGAGTGACTATGATAAAAATGCAAAAATATATTTTAAAAAGAAAAACACCACTCTTTCCCCCTTCTCTAAAAAGTTCTCCACTAAGACAGGGGAACATAGGGAAGCAAGGCATTTAAGGAGGTCTGAAAGACTTTAGTAAATAGGTTTGAACAAAACAATGTACTGAGCTAATCTTCAACACAGACTGGCCATTCCTAGAGCCTTATTTGCAAAGTACAGAGGAAGAAAACGGAGCCTTAATAGGCCCCTTGGCTAAAAGGACTTTTCTTTGCCTTAGACAAAAATGCCAGACATTCAGACAAGGAGTAGAAAGGCCAACAGCACGCTGAGCCAGACTGTCTGGACTCCCAGGGTAGTGGTCATTTCTCCTCCCTTACGTTCTTTAATTCCTATCTTGTGGTCATTTTTGTGTGAAACAAAATGTGTTTTAAGATATATTTATTTTCAAATTATGTGTATAAGTGTTTTGCCTGCCTGGATATGTGTGTATCATGTATGTACTTGGTGTCTTTGGAGGCCCAAAGAGGATATCAGGTTCTCTGGAACTGGAATAACAGAGGGTTATAAGCTGGCATGTGTGTCTGGGAGCCAAACTTTGGTCCTCTGCAAGAGCTGTAAGCTCTCTTAATAACTGAGTCATCTCTACAGCCCTCAAAATGTGCTTTAAAATGGAAAATTAAAAGCATGACGCCCACTCCATGTTTTCATTCCTCTAGAACATTTTTTTTTTCCTAGTCTGGTTTTGCCTCATTTGTCTCTAGGTTTAAATTGGTATATGGGTATTACTTTTATTCAGTTAATGTTTTAAGGATCTTTACTTTTGATTTCTATTTTGTTTTCTTTCTTTTTCTTTCCTTTATTATTATTTTTTATTTTGGTGGTGTAAGGGATTGAGTCCAGGGCCTTGAACATGCTAGGCAACTATAATACCACATAGCTATATCTGTAGCCTCATTTACATTTGTTTTCTAAATTTGACTTATAGAAGAATGAGATATTGTACTATAATTCACTAACCTAAGCCTCCTAGATTTGAAGATTACTCATTAGTAATTCATTTAACAATGACCATTAAACCCCGAAATAACCCAGAAGTGGTTCTAGGTGGTGAGAATTTTGCAGTGAACAGGAGGAAAAAAAAATCCATCTCTTCTTGAAAAAGATGAAAAGCTGTGAAAAGCTGATTTAATAAATGCAAAAATTAAAGATTATGTCTTGTGTTAGAGAATGGGATGTTGTGAAGAAGAACTCAGTAGAGGAAGGGGATGGGAGATGTGATTTAAATAGGGTGGATCTTACAGAGAAGCTGATGTGTACGGACTTACAGGATTGAAGGAAGGGAAAAAAGTAACTTGTTTTTATGATCAATTTAAATTTGGTGCCACTATGAAAAAAGACTTCCTTGGCATACATCTTCTTGCCTATGGCCTCTCAACCTTCCTCTAAGCACAACACATTTGGATACTATCTTTAGGACAGAATTCTCAAAGTAGTTTAAATATTTTCTCATTTTTGAATGAATCAGCCAATGATTTTGGTCCAATAGTTTTACTTATTAGGATCTCAGATTCAGCTTCTGACCACTCAGAATGCTGAGCTGGGTGAGATGCTTCTGCTAGAGAACTGATCTCAAGTGTTTGTGGGACTCAGATGCATTCACTCAACTTTTCTTCCTATGGGTATCTATTTGAACTATGCTAAATATGTCAACTTATATGCATTACATGCACTGTTCTCAATAGGCCATAGGCTTATCT